GGGGGGGGGGGGGGGGGGGGGGGGGGGGGGGGGAATTCGTGAAAAATCGGATGGGGGTGTGAGGCAAACTTCCCAAAACCCTTACCCAAACTTAAGACCAAAATCTGCGATTTTCCCTACCCTATTTATGACCTGACCAAAACTTTGATACCCTATTTAAGACCAAACTGACCAAAATCGATACCCTACATGTACTTCTAACCAAAACGGCTAGAAAACCATACCCTTTGGGATTGCAGATACTTATATAGCCCATATAAGGAAGTATCCCCCACAAGGGGGATTTGCTTTGCTTACCAATAAAAATTATACTTGGTTGAAGCTCTCTAGCGACAGCGAATAGAGCTCGAACAAGTTTTTCACCCTCACCAACCTGTCAGAGAAAACAAATTTCATTTAGCCGTGCGTTTGTGCTCTCATAATGCACAACATACTTGACAAGAACAAAGACAAACGGCACACAGGACCACATAAGACAACGTGAAATGGCGTGAATATTGTCCTTGTCACGCTTTTACGTGTCCTGTAAGCACAGACATAAAGTCTAAGACCAAATCAAACTCCTTCGGTACTTTCACTTGAAAGTACAAGTACTTGTATGCCAAAATACATGTAAGTATATTCCTGATAAAATTCTCCGAAAATTAAACGGCTTGTAGCTCAGAAAATTCCTTCATTTACATTGGACTTATTACTTGGGAGGTGAGGTGGCCTCATGGTTAGTGCTCTCGTCTCTGAATCGAGCAGTCTTATATTAACTGATCTACACTATACATAACAAGCCCGCACGTAATATTACTGTACTCTTACCCATTTAGAAGTGAGTGAGGAAGCACTTATATNTCGGATGGGGGTGTGAGGCAAACTTCCCAAAACCCTTACCCAAACTTAAGACCAAAATCTGCGATTTTCCCTACCCTATTTATGACCTGACCAAAACTTTGATACCCTATTTAAGACCAAACTGACCAAAATCGATACCCTACATGTACTTCTAACCAAAACGGCTAGAAAACCATACCCTTTGGGATTGCAGATACTTATATAGCCCATATAAGGAAGTATCCCCCACAAGGGGGATTTGCTTTGCTTACCAATAAAAATTATACTTGGTTGAAGCTCTCTAGCGACAGCGAATAGAGCTCGAACAAGTTTTTCACCCTCACCAACCTGTCAGAGAAAACAAATTTCATTTAGCCGTGCGTTTGTGCTCTCATAATGCACAACATACTTGACAAGAACAAAGACAAATGGCACACAGGACCACATAAGACAACGTGAAGTGGCGTGACTATTGTCCTTGTCACGCTTTTACGTGTCCTGTAAGTTCTTCAGCACAGACATAAAGTCTAAGATCAAATCAAACTCCTTCGGTATTTTCACTTGAAAGTACAAGTACTTGTATGCCAAAATACATGTAAGCATATTCCAGATAAAATTCTCCGAAAATCAAACGGCTTGTAGCTCAGAAGATTCCTTCATTTACATTGGACTTATTACTTGGGAGGTGAGGTGGCCTCATGGTTAGTGCTCTCGTCTCTGGATCGAGCAGTCTTATATTAACTGATCTACACTACACATAACAAGCCCGCACGTAATATTACTGTACTCTTACCCATTTAGAAGTGAGTGAGGAAGCACTTATATTGAAAAACGTCGCTTTTGATTCACTTGCAACAGCTTTTGCCTAAAAAATGAAAAGAAATTCAAGAATCAATCTTGAGTTCATTTAGCACCCAGATTAACAACTTACAATTAATATTATGTTAGCATGAGCTAACAGAATGATGTTTCAGTGACAGAAATAGAGTTTGTGTATTTGTAAGAGAAAAATTGTACGATAGATGCCTCTCTTTCAAGATGCCTACTGTAATATAATCATTCTGACTTATGTGTTATTCACTGGTAAATATAATATCCACTTCTTGTAAATGTTTTTTTTTTTCTTTTTTTTTTCATCCTAAATAAAGTATGTACAAAGATCAAGTTTGGCTACACGATCACTGGACAAAGTACAAAGTTTGCTTCAAACCACTTAAATTGCATGTAAATGGTCAAAAGAATTAAAACTGTTTATGAGAAAAAATAACAGTCAGCTAACCAACATTGTTTTTCCATTTCCTGGGGGACCAAACAACAGAAGACCACGAGCTGGAGCTCTTAAACCAGTAAAAAGCTGTTCAGAAATATAAAAAGATATATACACTCAGTCATGTATGCAACATCATTTTAATTTAGGAAAAGAAAAAACATGAGAAAATAAATTATTAGGTGATGTCAATTATAGCTTTGTATAAAACCATTCTATAACATATGAAATGAAGGCTAGAGTACCTCAGGTCTAAGATATGGAAGGATTACAATCTCTTGAAGTAGTTTCTTAGCATTCTCTGCACCAGCTGTAAAATTAA